AATACTAATTATTTATCTTTATTAGCCAAACGTTTAGCTACACTTGTATCAAAAAAGGCTAACAACCTATCATATTTAGAAGAAATCTTTTTAGAACCTAATTGAACATTTCTTGATTGAAGAATTGGAACACGAGCACCTTGATCATTTCTTTGAACTGTGGGAGGAGTAACTTGAACATTCTGAACAGGAAATCCTTGATCATTTATTTGAACCGTAGGAGAAATAACTTGAACATTTGTTGATTGAACATTCCTGGAGTTGGATATGATCATTTCTGGATTGGTGTTTGAACAATTCTGAGTTTGATTTTGAACATTCCTGGGAACAGTAGGTTGAATAACAACAGGAGATTTTGTTGACGCACTAGTATGAATTGGAACTCTTGGATTAATTTGAGAGTAAGTTTTAACACCAGAAGCACCTTCATTTGCACCAAAATTAGAACAAGGTTGAACAGCAGAAACACCTTCAAGATTTAAATCCTTCGCCTTTAAAAAAATTAAATTGATCATTAATAAACCAGTATATGATCAGTTACAAACACTTATACAAACAAATATGGAAAAAAAAAACCTTAGCAATAGATGAAATATCAACATCAATAGATATGATAGATGAAAGAGAGCTTTCACCAGTAGCCTACAAAAAAACCAAAAAAAAATATAAAAAATAAAAAATTAAATAAAAAAAAATTATAATATAGATCATAAATGTTCATATACCTGATCAAAATCATTGGAAATACTATGATTTGATTCCTTAGAACTAGAAGGAATTTCTTCTACAACAGCTGATTTTAAGCCGACCTATATTTTTAAATTATAAAAATCAATATTAATAAAATATAAATAAAATGTTTTTTTTGGCACATTTGAATTTACCTGAGCCCGTTTATTGCTCAAAACAATCAATTCAATGGGATCACTAATAGAATTAGCATAAGTAACAGCACAACCGTTCTCATCAAGTTCCTATTTAAAAAAAAAAACATAAATGATCATTTACGAAAACTGAAATGATCAATTTGAAAATATGAAATGATCATATACCTGTACAACTGCTTGCCCTATACCCCTTTTGTAAGGAGTGTACAGAGACTTTTTCCTCTTGAAATTACCCTTTGCCTTGTTACACTGCTTCTCCAAGGTACTCTTAGGCCTTACATTCCTCTCACCTTTAGGCCTAGCTTTTGGAGGATTCTTGATCTCAAGATCAACAATTTCAACCTCTTTAACAGGTTCACTAAAGTCAATTACACCTGATACACTCTCAACCTTTTCTTTTAACAGATTGAAATAACACTCAACCTCTGCCCTTGCATTCAAAGAATTCTGACAACTTGTTATCAACTTAACAAACTTTCTGATTGTTTGTGACCTCCAAACACTAGTAGCCACAACATTTGTCCTCAAAGTAGGTTCTTCAATACCATGACTACACATGGCAGCCTTTGTCCATCGTTTCATTATATACTCTTGTGGAATATTACGCACACAATGCAAATGATATACTCGAAGAGAATGAGAACAAAGTAAACCAGTCTCACTAAAGTACATGCATGTGCAACAAATTGCATGTGTTTCCTTATTAAAAACAACTTCATGCTTAATTATATCCTTCCCAGGCCTCCAAAGAAGATATGAATATTCTGGAAAACGCAAACCATTATCAACATGATCATAAGCTGTCCCCCTAATGAACTCCTCTTCAAAAAGAACATAAGCTTGAATAGTGTACAATGATCTTGCATGAACTAATATACCAATATTAGCAAAAGCTAGGTGCCTATTACCCCTCAGAGTATTGTAATCTCTTGCACCTTCCTTACTTCTCCACTCAGAAATGACATCAAGAAAAACATGATAAAAATCACATAAACCTTGAGTCTTATTAAGACGTTGTGAAACTGACTTATTAGTAGTTTCACTACGTTGAGAAGACAATATACCACCAGACCAATACTTCTTAGAATAAGCAGGACACCACATTTCCTTTATTTTATACAAATCACATAACCAATCATCATTTTCACATTTGTATTTATCACACATCCTGTATAACAGAAATGATCATATATTAATTTAAAAATGAACAAAATATAAATTAAAATATGTACATTTGTGTAAAGAATAATGATCATAAACAATATGGACACTAATAATATTATGATAACATACATAACAAAGTAAATTGTATGATCATATGTAAAACACTAAATGTTCATATATATATCACATAATAATCAAATATATCACATAATAAAAATAAAAAATAAATATAAAAAACAATAATTTACCTTTTCCAGAAATATTCAAATTCAGCAGGAGTTTCACAATACTTCAAAAGATATCCAAACAAATCTGTAAAGCCTTCCAAAGCTCTCAATGCTCCAATGTGTTTCTTAGAATTTTGTTCAAGATGCCATACACATAAACGATGATGAACAGTTGAAGGAAAAATGTTTCTTATACCCGCTGCAATCGCTTGTGCTTGATCAGTCATAATTGTAATGGGACTTTTCCTCCCCATTGAGTGCAAAAATGTATCAAACAACCAATCAAAAGACTCGGTGCGCTCATTAAGAATAAAACCCATACCAAACATGACATTGTTACCATGATGGTTCATCCCAACAAATGGAGCACATATCATTCCATATTTATTAGTTCTATAAGTTGTATCAAAAACCAACAAATCTCCAAAGTAATGATAATCTCTCATCATCCTACCATCACGCCAAAAAAAACTAACTAAAGCACCACTATCATCTTGTTCAAAATCATAATAAAAATCTGTCTCATCCACATGTCTCTTGGCAAAATATTTAATCAATTGGTTACCATCACATCCTTCAATTTGGGCAGCTTTTTCAGATGACAATGCATTATAAGCATCAGAAGCAGTAAAACAAAGATTAGGAGATCCCCCAACCTCCTTCTTTAGAACCCTCAAAGAATCAGTAACTTTGACTCCACTCAATTTCATTGTTGAAATGAAAAGAAGCTGCTCTTTATTCACATCTCTTTGAGACCTTATCAAATGCCTTTTTTCAGGAGGAATCATAGCATGATTATGAACCATTTCATGTCTTGTACATGTATAGACCCCTAAATGATCAATATGAAACTGCACAAAAGCTAAACAACCAGTTCGATGATCCAACTTCTCATAAATCCTTTTATTCTTACACTTATTATCTTTGAATCCCTCATTACAACAAACAAATCTTTTCATCAAAAAAGAATCATCTCTTCTTCTCTTACTCTTCCCAATTCGAATTCCAAAACCTTTCCTAAAAGCATATTCATTATACGCTTCGAAAGCTTCATCTTCAGATTTAAATTCTTTATCCTTTAATTCAGACTGTTCTGCTTCTAAATACATAATATCATCATTTTTTTCCACTGCACAATATACAATTATAAATGATCATAAAGAGTTTCATGAATGAACAATAACAAATAAGTAAAATGTTCAATATCAAAACAGCACATGATCAATTGCAAAAAGAATTTCAGCACATAATATTTTGAACAATATTTTCATTATTTACCACTACACATAATATCGATATAAAAATGTAAAAATAAATGATCAAAAATGACTTTAAGACTGAACATAAACACATTAGTAACAATGAATAAGAAAACATAAACGATTAATTGAAAGTATAATCTACAAAATATACGACAAAAACACACAATTCTAAAACACAGAGAAAACAACAAATGAAACAACAAATGAAGCAACAAAATGTTCATACAAAGTACAACAATCCAAAAACGTTCATCATAATGTAATCAAAGTAGTAAATTCAAAAATCGAAAGTGAATAATAATACATCAATTAAGTTCAAATTAACAGAGCATTATAACAGAACAAATTAGGGATAATTAAAAATTGAAAAATTATGATCACAATTACTCACATTGTTGCACAAACGAATCAACGAAACGAAGTCCAGAAGGAAACACACGCTCGCAATCGCGATCAAAATCAACGCAATCTCCAGATGCAGAATTCGCCATTGATGATCGGTAACAATTAACGAATTCGTTCAAAAAATCAAATGAAGAAGATGAATTAGCGAGAGAAAAATGTAGATCAAAAATGGAGGTTGGTTGATCAATTGAAGAGAGAGAAAAAATAGGGTTTAAAATCATATATATACATAAATTGAATAATAAGAATCAAAGGAAAAAGGAAAAAAGAGGAAGAAAAGAAAAAAAGAAAAAAAGGAAAAAAAAAAAAAAAAAAAAAAAAGGAAAGAATCGCAAAAGGAAAGAAGCTGCACATGAGAACTCAATACCAGCTACAAAACGACGTAGCATAGGGGGGGTGTAGGGAACACACCCTACACTAGGGTGTAGGGTAAAATTTTCAACTATCACAAGCTCACAACTCCAACACATGTGCCCACCTGGATATGTCGTATTCTTTATGTGTGAGTTGAGCAAAACAAACTCGTAGGATCTTAAAATTATATTTCATCAAAATTTACTTGTTTTCTAAATAAATTTCTCAGTTAATAAAAAATCAAATCTACTCTTAGAAGAAAGATTGTCTTTATGTAATTGGTTTCTAATAACAAAAGTGTTCATTATCTTTTGCTAAAATTGAAATTTGTCATACAACTATACAAGGGTCTACAGAATTCAAGCTAAATTGTTTATATAGCATAAGAAATGTTTATCTACAAGTTTAAGGGGTGTGATTTCTTTACAACTCAAAAAATTAATTTTGCAACTTTTCCTCATAAGTTGAGCACCAAGTTAAAACTCATCCGAGTATTAAGGATTAAGGAGTGTCAAAACTCGGCTCCTTATCAATCGAGTAACCACATCTTTAATCATGACACCTTATGCCTCTTTATGAGTTTATGTTTGCTAAACAAAATTTATTTATTTGCTAAACTTAACTTAATCTGTCTAGCTTATTTGATAAATCAAGGTGAACTAAACTATTGTTACTTGGTATTGGAATTTGGAAGTGTGCAAACAGAGAGACAGAGCATGAAATACACCAGGCTAAAATGTGCCACATGCCAAATATAGTCAATCATATGAACATTATACTAAATCTCGAAATCCTCACTATTTGGATCAAATAACATCACTTACCGACACTTTGTAGCAACCTACTTTTCAGAAAAATTTGTCAATACTTGATCCAGGTACAACTACAACTACAAATCTCAGAAATTCAACTCTAAAGTAAAAAGAGGGACAAAAAACACAATCAACTTACCATATTATTATTATATACTCCATCACTTACTTCCATACAAAATTTCATAATTAAACAAAATACAACTCTAATTTATCTTAAAAAAGAAAAAGAAAAATAAAGTGACCTTAAATTCATCATTCATCTTCAACCCCAATATTCTACTGAATTTAACTGAGGATTAAATTATGATCATGGTGAGAAGAATATGGAACAGAACACTTATGCTTGAACAAAACTCTAAGTTGTGCCTTCTGACATTCCACCTTATTACTGAAACCACCCAAATCTCTCAACTGTTTATTGCAATAATAATTAGCATTATTTGTACCATTGTTATTAGCATTACACCCATTGTTTTTCGCCTTAATCGCCCTTTGAAACTCCACAAAACCCTTAATCCCTTGCTTAATATGCGGATTCTCAGTTTCCGGCGATGACGACAACGAAGACACAGCTGCCTTCCTTTGTACATTACCCCCATTCTTACTACAACCATTTTGCTCAAAAGACGACCCCGTTTCCTTTGAACTTTGTTTGATTTGTGGTTGCTGCAGTAAAAAATTGTTCAGAAACTCCTGATGGTAAAAAAGCTGAGCATCAGCAAGTTTCATCTGAACTCTTTCCTCCCTTAAAACTTCCGCCATTCTCAACATTTTTCTCTCTTCGTCCATTTCCGCCTTCATCTTCTGCGTCTCTTCCTTCAGCCGCGTAATCTCTTTCATTAGATCATCACAAACAACACACATTTGCTTTCTTTGAGATTGATCAATAAGCTCTTTCGAGAGCTTCTTGTTCAAAGCCTGCATTCTCTTTCTGAGTGCTCTTTCCATCTCTAATTCTGCCTTCAATTCCGCAATCTGGGTTTTAGTGTTACTCATCTTGAGATCTGAGTTATGCAGGAACTTTGCTGAAGCACTGTATTTGCGCTGAAGTTGCTTGGGTTTAAGTTTAAAGGGATTATTATTACTGTCGTTATTAATAATAAGATTAAAATCAGTATTATTATTACTAGTAAAATTAGTAATAGTGGGATTAGTGGGAATAAAAAAGGGATTTTGGTAAAGTTTCCAGCTAATTGGACAGGTAGATTTGATGATGATAGAATTTTGTTGCTCTTGATTTTCAGACATGATCTGATGATTATGATTTCTGGGGAAATTATCAAGATCATCTAGGTTGGCACTCGTGTTATGCATCATCGCCATCAACATATCATTTGATTTTACAATTTTTAATCGAGAATTAAATTTTGTTGTTTTAGGAAGAGAGAAATATATTTTTGTGGTTGGGTATTTATTTTATGTGAAAGAGAGACCTTGTTTTTTACATTTATGTGGAAATGTATTGTATTGACAAACAAGGAAGTAAGGCATGAAGTAGTTCTGTACAAGTAGGGACATGAATTAATTGTGAACAGCAAGGAATTTAAGGAAGGTGGGTGATTGAAAAATTTGAAAAAAAAAAAAATTTAAAAAAATTATTGAAAAGAAGAAAGGTAAAGATAATAAGATCACATCTCACATGGTAGTGTATTGATATCTCCTTTTCTTCATAATAAACTAGGTGGACAAAAGAAAGAGAGGCCACCGCTATTTGATTATTCTCTTTCGTTACTTACACCTATGATTCCACAATCTAATTAACTTATGGCAAATGATAAGAGATTCAAGAGTAATTGGAAAGTGGCTCTTCTGAGTTTTAATTTGACAATGCGTCCTTATATAATTTTGACTATCATTATTTAAAACTGTACGTTTTGTGTGTTGTCGTTCAAATTATGTGACCGCTTGTAAAAGAATAAAGTAACCCTTGTGATACTGACCAAGTAACCTGGGCTTATAATATTGACTGAGTAACCCCTATAACACTGATGAAATAACCCCTATATAACACTAACAAAGTAGCCCCTTATGCTGACTGGTCACACCGTGTGGCCAGCCATATATAAGCATTTGTGTATTTAAAATTATTTATTAGTATAGAGTATTGATTTAAAAAAATACATTAAGATAAACTTTTATCAGCAACACTTGTACAAGTGCACAACCTTAATAAAGGGTAATAAATTTAATGGATTCTAGGATACAAAATTAATTATTTCTTAACTATCACAAATCTCTCTCACTAAAAAAAACCTTTTTTTAGTACGGAGTATTAATTTTTCAAGTTAGTCTTTTGAGCTTTTCATTCTCAATTAAACACTTTTAATTGAGGTTTGAGTTAGTCAATAATAAGTATCTTTTTACACCTAACCTCCCTTGACCAAAGAGGGGAACGACCCCAAAAGTAGTTAGGATTCAAGACCATTCAGTTATTTTAACAAGTACTTCATTGGCAACCTAATTTTCACTAAAAGATAATCCAAGATATCAATGATATAAATTCTGTATTAGCAAACAAAAAACTCCCAAATTTGCAATTTATAAAGAACGAAATAAGTATTTAACTATATTCGTTATCCAATACAATTAAGGATTCCCTAAAATTCACTAGAACATTTTCATAATAGTGTTTGAAGTAATAAAGGTATGTCGAGCCAAATCAGATGGCCGAAAGCATTAATGGTATACTGTAAAACCATATTATCCGCATGATTGCGAATTGTGATTAGGTTCCACTTAAGCGAAATTGTGGGGAATAATAATAATGTCTTAAGAGTCTTTTCGGTCTCATAGCATGCCATGTAACATCATATGATTCATATCAAAATCAAGAGTCAAGACTTTGGATTTCTTTGAGGTTGGACCATTTACCGTGCACTAATGCAGCTATGTAATTGCTGACAAACAGGAGTTGAGCCTAAAATCTAATTACCCACGACATGAAAACGACAAAGTCTCATTAATATGCTTCATAATCGTAGCTATAATGTGTACTAAACTGAAATCCAACGGTTAAGCTACTGTAATGGAATATTATTGACATATTTTTTTACAATTTACGCCTTTATTTTATGTTTATAACAATTTATTAAAACTAAAAACTTAAATTGATGGCTGAAACCCTTAATTGGTTTACAAACTCTATCAGATGTTATACACAATAAATAAATAAATAAATAAATAAATAGCGGACTAATGGTGGAGAAGAGGAATCATTTCATTGAAATGTAACGTAAATTAATGCTAATGCTCTATTTAAATTTGACAAGTACTATACAGTGATGTTTTAAAACGGATTAATATTTGATTAAACACAGTATAAGCAAATGCTTATATTTGTTAAAACCATCATTATTTTTTTTTTTTTTGACAAAGAGAACTAGAAACTAACAAACACAAACACCTAAAAGGACCAAAAAAGAAACTGGTGATGACGAGCCTGAACTGCTAGCCAATGAGCCGGAGATATCCACGAGTGGGGAACCTTGCTAATCCTGCAAGTCGACATGTCTTGAAGAACTTCCCTAATTTCCGTTAACAACCAAACACAAGAAATATCATCCGAACACAAATGACAAGTCAACTGTGCACAATCCGCATAAATAAGAAGCTGAACAAAACCCCTACGATATGCAACACGCAAGGCCCATAAACAAGCTTGAAGCACAGAGGGCGTCCGACAAGCCCTCGAGCCTCCTCCTAAAATCCAATCCGAACGAATTTCCCTAAAAACCCAACCTGTACTCGCTGTATTATCTTGAACATTCCAAGCTCTATCCAGCAAAAGACAGAAATTCAAAGTATCAATTGCAGACCCTTTTAAGCAATCTGCAGTCAAAGACCTGGGAGAAGAGAGCCGAGATCGTTGAAGAAGGTATTGTTATTGAGAGAAAGTAGAAGCCGCAATGTTAAAACCATCGTTGTTTGGGTCCAATCCATTCATCATGATTGGGCCAGTCCAAATAATTCAATTAAAATCCCAAAGCAAGGTTCAACCTTCCAAAGCATGCTAAAGTCAACAAAAGCCCAGTCAACGTGGCAAGCCCACTTGACTTCAAGAGCCCAAGCCTCCTTATTTCAAGCAAAGGTATAAAATCCACCAATTGTCTCATTAATAGGGACATGCAACCAAAGCCTCAAGCACAAAATCTCTTGTATAGCTTTCTTTCTCAACTGAACTGACTTTAGCATCGGAGGGGCCTTCCTCGGCAACCACCCCCGAGGCTAGTTTACGTGTTCTTTGTTGTGCAGGAAACCCTCGGCTCAAGTGTTCTTTGGACCAGGATCAGTCTTCTCCTTCAAAAGGAATTTGTCGAAGGTCCCATTATTTCTATCCGGAACAATTTGGCGCCGTCTATGGGGAAGATACAAAAAGTTAAGCTAAGAAATCTAACCAGTCTTACTGGAAACATGACTAAGGGTGACATGAGCACCAAGAGTGCTAAGAAGAATGGTCACACCTCTGCGAAGAGGAGCAGAGACCTGATCACGATGAGGGAAAATCGACCGATTTCGCCATCACCGGAACCAGTTTCATCTTCTTCCAAAGCTCCCCATTCTCCGGAAGGAGACGCTTCGGAGGGCTCTCCATCCCACCATACTCGCCAGCCGACAAGTTCACCTAGGTCGAGTAGGTTTAATGCGAGAAGTCCTCCACCGCAAAGTCACTCGTGGTCTCAGCCGAAAGTAACCCCTCCATCGGGGCCCTCTACGGAGGAAGTGGCAAGGGCCGTAGCAGTCTGTATGGAGTTCCTCAAAGCCCAAGGGGGTCAACTCCCACTAACGCCCCCGAGTCTTCACGTCTTTAGCCGAGAAACCTGAGAAGGAGAATCGGTCAAGAGGAAGATGGACAAGTTCCACCCTGCAAGGAGCTCGGGGAGAAGTGGCAAGAGGACACATGGAGGACCGAGAGGGAAAAGAAAAAGAACCCTCGTTTCTTTCACCACTCCAAAACTCGGGACTCCATGAGTTTTTGAAGTAGCAATAGCACCTCTGCGTGTAAAGATTCTGCTCGCCGAAGCGTCCATGAACACTTAGGCTCAAGAGAGGTGGACGTGCGCAGCCGTCTTACCTTCCCCGAAAGAACCAGGCCCTACCCTGAATTGTCTCGGCCAGGGACGAAAACCACTTCCACCTCTTTAAGAGGGAGAAGCGAGGTCCCTTCGGCCAAGCAAAAAGGGAAAGCCGTGATGGTCCCTACAAGCTCGCCCTTCCAAAGTTGGACATTGGAAAAGCATGTGCCGATGGTAAAAATACCATCGCATATCACTTATGATGGTACCTCAGACCCGAAAGAGCACATTGCCTCTTACGAGGGGCACATGTATCTTAATCCCAGGTCCGAGGCTACCTGGTGTAAATATTTTCCAACCACCCTCAAAGGCGTTGCAAAATCGTGGATCTCCAAGGGGGTGAAAGAAGGCTCTATAACTGGTTGGAGTGACCTTGCCAACAAGTTCAAGAGCAATTTTTCTAAGTTGAATCGCCGAGAGAAAACGATTGCAGAACTGATGAGTCAGCAGCAACCGGAGGATGAAAGCCTCTGAGACTATTTGACTCGCTTTAGCAACGAGTCATCCAGAATTACGATTCTGGTCCAGGGCCTTGCCGTTTTTGCATTACGAAATGGCTTACAAGCTGGAAAGTTCCTTGACCTCATGGTCATGCATCCCCCGCAGACCTTGGAGGAAGCTTTGGATGCCTCAGATAAGTTCATCCAAGCCGAAGATTGGAACAAGACAAAATCTCAGTCCCAACCCAGGGCTGAGAAAGTTAAGGGACAACAATCCGAAGGCCAGGGGCCGAGGAAAGGGAAGGCGAAAGCCTCAGAACCTTCCTCGGCACCTGAGCCGAAGAAAGATAGGACCCCCTATACGGGGAGGTTTGAGTCTTACACTCTCCTTACTCTTCCACGCGCTAAAATTTTCAGCACGACCAAGGATGAGGGGAGATTCAAGAAGCCGAGGCCACTTCCATCATGGCATCAGAAAAAGGGGAAGGACCAATGGTGCGAGTTTCACGAATCCCCTAGACACCGCATCGAGGACTGCCTCCAGCTGAAAAACCAGATCGAGGATTTGGTCCAAAAAGGCTATTTGAAAAAATACGTCGCGGAGCGCCGCGAAGAAAAGAAAGCCGAGAGATATTCTCGGCAGGATTTGGACTTTCTCCGAAAAAGGGACAAGCAGAATGACAAAGAAAACCTTGACATTCTCACTATTTCCGAGGGTGTTTCTCGGAATGCGCTGAAACGCCGCTTGAGGGGCTTGACCCATCAAGTGTTAGGTTTACAGTGTATTCAACCTAGAAAAACACTTAATATATTCTGTGGGACAAAACCTAAATAATGTAATTACACTAACAATGTAATGTAATACAAACAAACACAACAAAGGTGTTACAATCAAGTATTATAAGATAAAAGAAATTACAGAAAATTTCTATAAGAAACACTAATATGAAGACTTAAGAACTTGTCTATACTCCAAGCCAATCAACCAAGCATGAACATGAGAATTGCAATGTCCCTTGAGACTATGATCTTGATACACTGTCAAAGGCGTATGAATACTTTCCTAAAAGGGATTAATTTCCCCCACACGGTGCTTGGGTTAATCCGGAAATTCCCTTTGAGATACAATTGACAGCCCTTTCCGTTCTTAGCACAAAGAATCGAAAACAAAGATGAATGATTCTCGAAGAAGGATAAAATCAAGAAGATTTTCTCAAATA